AAAAAAAAAAATCATTCCAAAAAATCCTAAACGCTTCTTTCATATTCAACGAAACTCCATCACGTTTGGCACGTTTCCTCTTCGAACGAAAGAATTATTTCGACCACCACGTATTACACAATATAAATCTGTCAAAACGATTAAAGCCCAACTGTCCTCGACACCGGTTTTAATTGACCGGAAGGTTTTTGTACATTTTGTAAATCATCGCATCCGCCGTTTTGTCGTTCAGGGCCTTGGTGGCCAGGTCATCCGCAAGCATGGCGGCCACCGCCTCCGCAGCCATCAAGCCTGTGGACGAAAGTCAATCGTGAATCTATTATTAAACGAGTTAATACGCTGGACATTATTGATAGGATGCGTTAAAAGCGTCTGAAAGCGGACTTTTACTTCTCGTTCGATCGATGTCAATACACTCTTACCGCTACTTTTACTTTCTTCTATTGTTTTCTAAAACGTTCGATGGAAAGAATACTTTAGACGTGCGTAAGAAATTAAGCTCGACTCGGTTCGAAATTGATATTTGTTGGGTAATTGTTTTCGAAAGACGATATTTTTGGACGAATTTTACTCTTCAAATTCGAGAGTTTGGCATAGAATTTTGAGAATTAAGAATTCGAATATCGAAAGGTTGAGGTATTCCAAAAGTTTGACAATTTGGGGAAGAGGGAGGGAAGAATTCGAAGAATCTCAACATTTTCAAGGAAACGAAAAGAAAACGAAGGTGATAAGGTTCTTATGTTTACACGCATCTCATACTTTTAACAGGAAGCGTTTTTTTCTTTCGAGTCTTACCTTTTATGTAATTGCACGCACGCTTAACACGTTTTAAACCCGAGGCATTCATCCGGTCGTCGATACTCATAATCACATCTTACATATCAATCGTTGCACTTAATAACAATGAATTATTAATTATTAAATACCTCGTATTTATCTCTTGTACATTTCCATCAAATTCTCAAATCAATTAAATTTATTTAGATATAAAATTGTGTGATGAATTTAATCATATCATTCTCATAACTTTTGTTTCACCAGAATAATTCGAGAATATCGTTCGTTAGAATAAAAATTTTCAGAAATCTAACTTTCTCAAATTCTTAAATTCTTAAACTATGCATAAATAGAAAGATGAAATCGAAATTTTCAGATTACTATAGTTCCTTTATCACTCGTAACACTTTAGGTTTATCGACATCGCTTTCCTCAATTAAGAATTAAAACTTTTCTTCGACGTTTCCTTCGTCTCATTATTGTGGAAGAATACCGGTTTCGTGACGCAACAACATCGACAGATGAAAGAGGTTTTTACATAATGTTGAACTGGCTTTGTTATCGTTGATCGAACATCGACAATTACCTTTTTTATACGTTTCCCCATTGACTCGATTCTTTTTATTTAATTCGATAAGAAAATTCATTGCTACGTCGAATTATATAAAATGTGTTTTGATCGCAATTATTAAAGATCTTGATCATTTTATTCAATTTACAAAGCTTACCATTGCTGAGAATCGACTTCACTGGCCCCTCTTCGTCCATCCCCTGAAGAGAAACATTTTTCTTCGTGGCATTTAATTTGCTCCTGGCTGCTCGAACCATCAACTCGTCCTGCCCTTTGGTTTTCTTCAACTCGATAGTGAAATCACCGATCACATCAGCTGCGAATAATGATATATATTATTTCAATATAAAAAAAAAGAGAATATTCGAATATTCTTCCAATATCGCAAAGTATCAATCGATACTTTTTACACCTGAATGAATATACTTACAGAAATTCCCATTGAACTGTCCTCTTCCTCTTACCAATTCCTGCCCAACCTTGCCCATCAATTGGTAATCGGATTTCACGCGAAGCAGTGGGACCCTGATTTTCACTATAACGTGCATCACATCGTCCTTGAAAATCGATGAAAAAAAATATGAATAATGGAGAAAATTGCAGAGATTAAATAATAAGGGGAAAATAATAATAATAAAAGAAAAAGGAAATCATTGAGAATAATTTAAAAAAAGGGAAGGGACGATTGCTCACATCAGTGTCGTTCCCTCCATGAGCACGTTTTTGTCTTCTCCCTTGGCCAATTTTCTGCTCCTCAGGATTCTTGGCATCCATTCCGCCATAATGATAAACCAACTGCATACCTTCCTCGAAGTATCCTTGCCTCTCCTGATAATCTCTCGCGTATCTCGACAATCCATCCAACCTCTTCGCCTCTATGGCCGCCTTAACAGCGTCGTTCCTCTTCGTCAACGATTCCCCCTCGGTACAGTTGCGACTAATAACTCGTTTACTCTCCAGGATATCCTGTTTACATAAGCCGACCACCTTACGTGAATCGAGGTTATAAGACGAATTTCTTAGGAGACACTTAAGTAACAGTGGACGTTTATATAATTGTAATAGATAGAAGCTTTTCAGGTTCATTCAGAAACACTCGAATTATTTATTAAAAACAATTCTAAGAATTCATTACATTTTTTTTTCATTTTATATAAAAAAATTCGTACCTTTGCGTCACCGTTCACGCCAAACACTCTGGCATTCCCCTTAGACTCTATTCTCCCGTTTCCAAAGCGCTTCACGCCGCCATTACGCTCCCCATCCGCGTAAACGATATCAATGTACCCTGGTTTATCCTCCGATTTGATCCTCGATCGATCACGACGCGCCTCTTCCCTGCCGATCTGTCCAGGGACGAACCTCTGACCCCCGGCCACGCTCTCCACATTCTCTGACGCCATCGTCTCAACGTCCCCATAACGATCCTCTCCTCTTCTGCCGCCAAAGTTCTTCTCCCTTCTCTCATTTTCTCGTCTGTCGTGTTCCTCTCTGCTCCCGTCGACGTAGGATCTGGCTGCCTGGCTCTCCTTCCGATCGTAGTTTCTCGGGTTCAATCCAGAGTTCATCGCGCTCATCGCGTAAATCATCTGCACGTCGGAAGGATACCTCAAGTTCTCGATGATACGAGCGGTCTCCGACCTGGAGAGAACTTTGGCGCCCTCCATGTCGAAGGAACCGAAGCTATTAGGCTGTTGGTGGAATTTGCGTGGCTCGTTGGCGGGGCGATCAGTGGCTGGCGGCCTCATTTTCTCCGCTTGAATCTTCATCAAGAAGGGGTCGTACATTCTCAGTCTCTCCTCCTCCCTTGTCGAACCGGCTGCGAATTTATTTACCTGTCGATTCGCGGCAGAGACTATCGCCTCGAAGCTCTCGTTTTGCCCTTTCGGCTCCTTGATCAATGTGTGGAACCTGTACCTGATCGAGTCCAAGTCTCTGAGATCGCTGTAGCTCACGTAGCCGGCCTCCAGTTCGCTTAGGTTCGATTTCAAACGGCCTCGAGCTATGTGGATGCTGTCCAGGCTGGACCCGTTCAGCCCAGTTATCTCCACGTTGCGAAGAATAATTCTGTAACTGGTGTTACCCTCGGATTGATCCACTTTGATCGTCGGAACCTTCAGGGGATCCAGCTTTCCCGCTTTCGAGAATCCACCTGACAGAAGCTTGGCCCACAACTGTTGAGACATTTCTAACAGAGTTCCCTGACAGTTTGCCAAGCTCAGCAAAGCTAGAGCAAGGAATATCGTCTTCATCATCTTCATCATTGCGTCTATTTATATCTTTTTTGCTGTTTTCAGAAAAATCTTTATTCCCCCTTTCTCCCCCCAGAATTTCCTCAACACTTCGATACCCTTAATTATTTCCAAAGTTTAAAAGAGACTCTTAACAAAAACCTCTTTTCTTAAATCACTTCTTTTAGGAAACACTTTGGAGAACCACTTCGAATTCCAAAGAACCTTCTATTCCTCAGCCTTGATCTCCCAAATGTAATCAGGCTTGATCACCAAGAGGACGATTACAGCTATCACGACGAAGACGAGAAGAAAGCAGAGCAGGGTAGCGCACATCAACACTCTTACTCCCGGCCCGACGACGGTTCGTGCCTCCTCCAGTTCTTCGATCAATCGACGACACCGATCGACTACTTCTTACCCTCCACAACCATCTCACACCTCGTTGTATCCCCGTGCAAAAACGAGTCGACGATGCACCCGCGCCACCTTTTTATATCGCGTCGTGGAAGGGCGTCCGGTGATCTGGGCCATGGACCAATCTTCTCATTCTTGTTCCCGTTTAAGTAAATGCGATCCTTCTTCTAGTTTCTTCTTCCCTCTCCTTTTCCCTCCAGTAACTCCCCCATCTTGCGTTTCACTCCCGTTGCGAGGAGAGGTATATAGGGGGCAAGGTCCTTCCTTCCGACCTTAAGTGGAAGGCGTAATGGCGGGTCAGAAGAGGCCGCAAATAGCTATCGAAGCTATGCTCGATCGATGTTACGCAATTCACCTTGCTCTCTTAAATGTACGTGCGTGGTATGGTGACTTTTTTTTTTGTGCTTAATAGGCTTGGTACGGGGATGATGGTGTTAAGGCGAGACTTAAGCTCGATGGAGGTTGAGCTTGATATCGAAGGACTTATCGACGTTTTGTTGCGATTTGATCTATTTTTTTTACTTGGTTTGGATCTTTAAACAGTGAAACGATTATGAGAATAGGAAAGTTAATGAAAATTTGTTTCACTTGTTCAATGAATAAAATATGTATGATAAATGAAATTCAGTAGTAATTTGATTAATGGAAAGTTGTTAAGCTGCATGATACGATTTGGTTAATTTTTATGAGGCAATATACAATGATTTTTTTTTTTTAATTATAATATAAGAAACGATTCATTAAAAATAGTCATCGGTTAATTCGTCGCTTCCTCGAGCGATCGAGCGTTTAATTTGCAAGGGGATTCAATCGGCACGAAGGTGCAATAAAAATTGATACGAGACAAATATTGGAACGTTTGAATTGCGTGATCCGTAAAAGGAACTGCGAATGCAATAGAAACGGAGGTGTCAGCGAAATTGCTAATCGATGCCACGTTCCATAATTTTCGACGCCACGCGAAATTATTTCGCGCTCGAACCTCGCCGTGGCAACAACCATGCTCCTCCACGTCCCCTTCGTAATATTTTTCGCGACAAGTTGCTTGTCCATTCCATCGCCTATCCCAGAAATACGTAAGTAGTTCGTGTAATAAAAAAAAAAATATATAAATTTTTATTTTAATATCCGACGTATTTTTAATTATTTTATTCGTATTATAGTATTTAAAAGATACACCCAGTATATAGGTATTAATACCATATAATCTGGAACACTTGCATTTTAATCGATGATGAATCGTAGAGAAAATCATGTGGAAAGAATCGAGGTCTTCTGGACAAGGTTAATGATAGAAAAAACACAATGCTCGGATTTATTTTTAATTACGTTTAATTACGTTTTATTTACAATCGTAAATTAATCGAATTTTTATCGATTTTTACCTAATCGTATGCAATTCAAATTATGCTTCTCCAATAATTCACAGGATTATTAATTTTTTATATACATCTTTTACACAAATCTTTTCATCTAAGATAAAATTAATCGTAATTTTATACTTTCCTCAGCCTCGTTCTTGAAGATATGCCATCAAAGTGATCCGCATCTTAGCGACTGTATAAAGGAGAGTGTCAATTCCTTGAAACCGTATCTAAGGAAAGGTATACCGACTCTTGGAATACCAAAGTGTGAACCACTCCACTTGGACGAGATCGAGATCGATCAATCTTCCGGTCCGATCTACATCCGGGCGATCTACAACAACGTGTCCATATTTGGAGGAACTAATTTCGTACCTAAGAGTATCAGGTGGGTTCTCGCATACAAATATTTCTTTTCAGCTTTCTAAAAAAAAAAAAGAAAAAAATGTTATCTACATTTTTCTACATTTATATCTCTATATGTCGAATTATTCACATTCTCTTTTTAAAAGAAAATTTAATTTTTCTGGCACAATTAAAAAAAAAAAAAAACAAATTTTCATCCAAGATTTTTTGGAGCATTCGATAAGTACAGTTTATAAAATATTTTATGTTTAAAATAAAATATTTTAAATCGCGAAATCTTCAACGACAATGAAACACAAAGCGTGAGAATCATTTTTCCATCAGACTCGACTTGGATAAAAACGTGATACGATTGAAACTCTTCATCCCACGATTGGAGATGGTGTCGAATTACGTGATGGATGGTAGAATCATGATGCTATCGATCACGGGGAACGGGTTGGGACACGGAAACTTCACCGACATCGACGTAATTGTCACGATACAGATGGAGCGGTATCTGAACGAGAGGACAGGCTCGATTCATCAGGCTGTCGACGATATTTACGTAGATTTCGAGATCGGGCATGCCACGGTGCACTTGGACAATTTGTTCGACGGTGACGAAATGTTGTCTGGCGCTATGAATCTTTTCCTCAACGACAATTGGAACACGATTATCGCCGAGATTAGACCGAAATTAGAGGAGACTATAGCCATGCTTATCATGAAATTCACGAACACGATTTTCTCCGTGTTTCCGGAAAATGTGTTGTTGCCACCTTAGAAGTGATGTAATAGTTTATTTTTTCTTTTTTCTTTTTTTTTTTTTGTTAATGTTTATATTTGTAAGAAATTTGTTTTATAAATTTTTGTATTTTATACTTAATTAATTGTATACAATATATTTTATATTTTATACAATGTGTTGTGTATCTTATATTTGTTTGAGAAGGAGAAAATTGTGAATATTAAAATTTAGATATTTTTTTTTTTTCTTTTTGTAAAAATTTCGATCTCAACAAGCAAAGAAATATTTTTTGCTTTGCTATGTTATACGATATATATGCGATGGAAATTCGCAACAAATCGTAGAGGGCGTAAGAGACACTCTTTTCTCGGTGTCGGTATTTCAGAGCATGGAACAAGTTCCATGAGATATCTAGATACTTTTACACTTCGAACATGATGTAACGCCTTAAGGATGGACGAAGATAACTCGTGAGACAAACGTGTAAAACGTGGAACGGTATTGCAGGCGTCGTATGAAATCACAAACATCACAACAGTAGAACGTGATCCGTGATTAAATCTTCGACAGAGTTTCGAATTTCTTTTGAGAAACGAATTTATTTTTTTCTTTTCAAATAAAGAATGGCCAAACCTGTTTCTAGAGAAACTGGTCCACATTTGAACGAAATTAATATTTTTCACTTCTTTCTGTTTTTCACCTCGTTGAAAACCTGTTCTTTCTTATTTTTCTTTTTTTTTTTTTTTTCATTTTCAAGTATAAATTTGTAAAAAAATCGGAATTAGGAAGTCGTACAAAAATTGTAAGAATAGAAGGTTTAACAAGTATCGATGTTGACACACCTTTTTTTTTTTTTAATGAGTTATAAATTGGGCAACAGCGACAAGTTCTTTCGGAATTTCTTTAAACGATGTGAAATGTTTGAAAGTTTCAAGGTGTTCAAACAAATGGCTGAATCATTAAAACCGGAATGGGTGGAAACATCAACACACGTGTAACATTAATTCAACGATCATAAACGATGGTATTCAATATTAATAATAAATATTTAAATTATTGTAATAATTATTATTAATAATTCTAAATATTTAAAAAAAATATACATATTTTAAAGAAGTATCGACTGGATATGATAATTAAAAGATAATGATGATATTTGATAACTTTTATATATTATAAAATTAGATTGAATCAAATAAATATAAAATATTAATTTTTAAATCATCGTCATCGTCATTAATTTTTTAAATCTTTATATTTTCGTTTCATCGAATAAATATATATTTGTCATAGAAATGGGAGGCCAATTGTAAAATACAGCTTTCCTCATCGCTCATTTCCGAGTAATTTGTCTTGTATGCAGTGCACGATCCTTATCAAGGACCAATTCGAAAAGACAATACCGCATTACACATTCATGACCAGCTATGCACTACCATTGGACAAGCAATCGTGACTTACTATTATTAACTATTAATAACTCCTGACGGAAGTTTAAAAATAATTATAATTTTTTTCTACATAATATCCTTCTTATTATAATAATTAAACAAACTTCTTTCCTCAATTTCGTTCCAATTTATTTCCTCTCGTTATAAACAATTTGTTGCAGATATCTTTCTTAATTATTTTATGATTTCTTTTTTTTTTTTTTTCGTCTTCGTCGAATTTTAGAAAAATCTTAAAATCCTTGGATCCTTGATGAAAAAGTTCAGAAAATAAAGATTCGTTAATCTAGAATTTTTTCAAAAGAGTTATCCAGTTTTCAAAGAGCAAGACACACATTGGGCAAGATTTACTTAGACAATTGGACTTAAACAAACACGATTTTATTTCTCCGCTTGCCACTCAACCGGGTTCTTTCGTCACACATGAAAATCCGGGAAACAATGGTGTGGAACGAAAATGAAATCGCGCGGCGAGGAGCGTGAAACGAGGTTTCACAATGATTGTCGGTCGAATTAATGTTATTAAAACGCTAGTAATAGAGGTTGGTAAGAGAGGATGGATGTAGAGCTCTCGCAATGATCGGGCAGAAGCTCGATTGCGCAAATGCTATTCATTTGGCGCATATACACAGCGCGTACACTTTTCTTGGGCTTGACTGGGCCCCATTATCTTTCCATCTGTTCAACCACGATGGTTCGTTGCGCAATGGTGAACATTGGAAATTAAATGTCGCCTCTGAACAGGTGGATTGCGAAATCGAACGATCATTGTGATCCTCAAATAGGTTGGCGTAGGTCTGAAATGAAAAAAAAATCGTTGCGAAACGAAAACCAACTTCCCTATTTTATCGGATCGAACAGTAATCGATCTCTATCTCTTCTTTTTTTTTTTAAGAGAATTTTTATAAATTAAATAATAAATTAAGAAGTGATATTCGTAAGGTGAGAATATTTCCTTTGATCTTTTAAATTTTAAGAATTTATAATTGTCTGTAATAAAGAAAAATTATTAAAAATTATTAAAAGCATTGCAATGTTTTAATCCAGGTGATATCTAGTTAGAAATTTTTACAAATTAAATTACGAATAAAGGGATGGATAAGATAAAGATAAAGAAGAAAAATTTCAAAAATATTAAATTAAATTAATTGCAAGAACAAATATTTTCATTTACGCGAGATATACAAAGAGAAATAAAAAATAAAATAAGAATCTGATAAATTAATTTTTCCCAAATTTTCAATAATGGAATTAATGGCAAAAAAATGCGCATCGATTCCACTCATGAGAAATGGAAAGAAGAATCGGCGACGGCCGAATAGCAGTCCTCAGAGTAGGGGAATGCTTGCATATAAGACAGAATACGAAAGGAACGCGTGTTTAGTTTACAAGAATCGATCCACCTAGCTACCTTGATTCCTCATCTCGATTATAATCTCGTGTGTTTAAAGTAACCGAGAGAAAAGAAGAGAAAGAAATTTATTTAAAAGAATCTCCTCGACTTAAAGAAGAAGAAGAAAAAAGAGAATATAAAAAAATAACTAAGTGAATTAGTGTGCATTCATAAATAAACAGTGCAAATTCAACTTGAATTTTAAGAAGAATAAAAAAAGAATAAATAAATAAACCATCGTTGGATATTTTAAATAGAATTCTTTTTTTTTTAAATTTAAAATTGAAAGTTCGTTCACGTTAAATTCTTATGTAAAAAAATTCACATAATTCACGTTCGATTCTTCAAGATCATTTTTTATCCCCATTGGTGGACCTCGATCGAGGTCGAAATTCTCCAACATGTTTCCCCAACGAAGGATAATGATCTGTGCGGTGATTTTTGGATTGTTCTCCGGCGAACTGGTGTCCTGTGATAAGGAACAAAGCAGAAACGCCGCATTGAACGAGCCCGACTTCGAAACTCGTAAGCCAATCCAAGTGCCATTTTCATATTTTTAGATTATTATGTGATCCGAATCTGTGTATCTTTCTTGCTGTCGAATTATCGTGCGAAATAATCTATCATTCAATTGGCGTGCATCAACCGTGTAATTATAAAAAAAAAATAAGGAAAAAAGAAACAGGAATAAAAATGTTAAAAAGTTGATAAACGTTATGCAATCACTTTCCATGGTTTGAAACGACAATTGATAACTGTAATAACTGTCAAATGTGGATAATTAATGTAATATAATAAAAGACAGAAAAATATTTGAAAGTCGATACAACTTTCCACAATGGCGACAGTGGAAAAATAATTATTATTTTGATAAATTAATAATAAAAAAAATAAATAAATAAAGAATAATGCTCCTCCAAGTTAATACATATATTATAGAATTCCAGTTATGCAACAACTTTCCACAGTTCGATAAACCGAGGGGATCTGACGATTGATTTAACACTCAACTGTTCAGACAAACAATCAACTTTATCAGACGAGTTATTTCAAACGATTCAGAAGAAATTTCACATTGATTGCCCAGAGATCGTTGTTTCATTACAATAAATATAATTTTTGTTTTTCGTACTCAAGAATACGGACACGTATTCTACGTAGAACCGGGAACAGAATGAAACGAAATAGTATTACGAGCGAGTAATTATTCCTCGTATTTTCCTTTTACGATCATTGAGCGTATCAGGCCTTTCTCTTTACACGCGGAGAGGAACAGTGGGAAACGATTGTATCGCGGAAGCGTGTTGCATTGCACCAGTTTTTCCTCGTGGTGACAAATCGGCTGACAATTTGGAGCATAACTTTGACCAAGTGTTCCATTTTCTTTTTCCCTTCTTTTCCTTTTCAATATTATTTTCAAATTTATTTTCAAAAATTAATCTCATCGATTATTCGATCGTTCCTTTCGAAAAGAATTGTAGAAAAAATTCAGTTTGGAACTTTTCAAATTGTGAAAATGTCCACTTCTTCAGCGTGAAGGTAAGGATAATATTAATCGTTTTCTTTTTTTTTGAAAATTGTAAAAATTGAGATTTTCGAGATTTTGATTCAAATGTTTTTTCCTTTGCTTCTAAAAATTAGAGATTCTTTCGCTTGTAAAATTTTCAAACTGAAACAATAGTTGGTCGTTAAATTCTAGAAAATTTTTGAAAAGAATGAAAATGTATAAAAATTGAGTTTTTCGTTATATCTTCATTTTCTTGTTATATCTATTTTCTATTTCTTCGTATGAATGGAAGCAGATTGCTGCAGATAATTTATCGTAGGAATGTTCATAAATTTTCTGATATCATCATTGTTTCGAAGGTCGAATTCTCAAACTCGTTGTAATTATAATAAATTCCTGCTCGTTAAATTTGCAAGGCAGATTGTGAGATTAATATTAAGAACGTGTCTTTTATTTGTAAATTAACGTGAAAAAAATTACCGTGTAAAATGTTTTTCAAGTAATTAAAACGTTTAAAAGTATTAATTATATTAATATCTCGATTTGTAGATTCTAAAAGTCTTCTTCCTCCGAAGATTAATCTCAAATCGACTTCCTATTCAAGCTCAAAACTTAATAAAAAAAAATCTTCATCCACAATTTCATCCAAACTTCTCGTTTTCTAATGACGTCTCTTCATTTCTTTCTTTAAAAAAAAAAATTTATCATCATCCTCCTTCCTCCGACAAGAAATTATTTCTCATCCTCAACGAAAAAACGCATCCTTCTTAACACAATTCTCTCTTAATCAAAACGAAATTCATCCAGAGCAAACATTCAAATTCCTCAAATTTCGAGCTCCATTATTTATCGATCTGTGGAACTTGAAAATCGTAGGATCATCAAGACAATTCATCGAGAGCAAAGATTCGAAACATCCTCAAATTTGGAGATTCGTCGTTTATTAAAGTACGAAAGGAAAATCCAACGCAACGTTATAGTTATGGCGTTGGTTGAACGTAATGGTAGCATGGCGTAACGACTCTCGATGGCGTGGCGAAGGTTATGTCAGAGATTGCATAACGCGGGCCCGTGGATCGGTAATCGAGCGGAGAAAGTAGCGGCCTGGCCGATGTTTAGAGCTGGTCTTACAGCTGGTATCCTCGACACGCTCGTCTTCGCATGAATCCTCGAGAGTGAAAGCGTAAACTGAGTAAACCGGAACGGTGCATCCAGATTCTTTCGTTGGTCATGGACCTTGCAACGGCCATGATGATGACGATGATGATGACTCGATGACAGAGATGAAATTTAGCTAAAAAGTTTTATTTTTATTTCGTGGAATTGTAATTGAATGGTAGGGTGAAGATATTAGTGGTGGTGTATATTTTGAATGGGGTGAAAAGTTTTAAAAAAATTTTATCAGTGATTTTTAATGTGTGGATTTTTATTAAAATTAGTTTGAATATGGTTAGAATTGGAATTAAGTTTAGTATAAACCTGGTGTGTTATAATAATGATAGTAGAGTGGTTTATATTGTAAGATGAAATTTATTTAGAAAAGTTGTATTAGTGTTATTTGAGCGTGAGTATTGATTGAAATTAGTTAGGATTAATTTGAATATAGAAATAGAGCGGGTTGTGCAAGTGCTATGATTAATGGTAGAGTGATGCATTGATTGAAAATTCAACTTTTGAAGTTTCGAAAATCAATAGTTTTCAGTGTAGATGTTAGAATAGAAATTAATGTGAATATAGGTTTTATAAAGGTTAGTTAAAGGTTAGTTAAAGGTTATTATTTATATTTTATCAAATAGTTAGTTAATTGACATATACGTTAAGGTTATATTAATGATGGAATAAAGTATATTGCAACTAGGATTTAACTTAAAAAATTTCTCTAGGGAAATTTTATTAATAATACACTAGGATTGAAACTTGAATATAAATATAGAATGGCTTAACAAAAATGGTGTAGGCATACTATGTTAATAATAAAGATGGATCTATGAAATTGACAATCAATTAATTTCTTCAACTATCAATTGTAAAACCAGGTGTTATTTGTTATTGATCACAGGAATGATCAAAGATATTATGGGATTATAAAGTTGCGTGGGCAGCTATGGTATGCATTTTTCTCTTCTATTCGATTAGACGTGGAAAGTTTGATGTTAGTTTCACTTTTGCTAGATCTACAGCTGATCCTAAGCTAAACTAAACCTAACCTGAACTGAAAATATATACTTATTATAAATCTAATTCGATAATCTAATAATGAAATAATGGAAAAAATTTAGTCGAATCTAAATTCTGATTAAAATGTTCTTAATTCTTATATTTACCATTCAATTTTTGATTTCAATAATTATCTAGTAATTAATATTGTAATTTTAACAAATTAGTAGTAAATAATCAATGGTAGTTAAACGATAATTCAATTGGAATTGAAATTTTTTTTTTTACTCGTCTTCAAACAAAAGAATTTAAAATAATGACAACAAATTTCCATATAAATTAATCCCTATGTTAATATCCATTTAAAGCTAAAATGCATATTTGGTTTCTCCAAGTGTTAACAACAGAGACAATAATAACACTGTGCTGCATTCACGACATTACACGCATTCAAATCACTTCGTAAACACCGTTTCCGCATATTTTATATATGTTCTCTTATATTGTTTCTCTTAATCATTTGACACTACTCTGTGTGTCAACGTTCTCACACTATCATCATTTAAAATTTTTCACATAACATATTTTTTTATATCATTACACACTTGCATCAATCTCTCGTATTAAGTTAATTGTTCGTTTCAACAAATTGCTTAAACGAAAAGGAAAGAAAAAGTGTATAAAAAAAATATATATATAGTAGAGAAAATTATGAGTTATAACAATTATAAATAATGATTGTTAATGATTTATAGCTCAAAGTTTCAAGCCATTGTGCGCTATCGCCTATTATTATAGCAATCCATCAATCATTTCACAAGCT